ATCCGTCGCGGGTGCCGCCACCGGTGGCACCACTGTCGCTTCAGCAGCAAGTGCCTACTCCACGACCGCTCCCTCTGCAGCCGCCGCGGGGCAGACCCTGGTGCCGGGGGTCACCGCTCTCGCCGTCGGTGCTGCCGCCGATGCCGCTGCCCCCGCCGCGAATGCCTGCGCCGCGGCCGTTCCCCCCGCCACCGTAGCTGGGAAACCACCACCACCTGTCGCCGCACCCACAGCAGCTGCTGCACCCCATGCCACCGCTCCATCTGCAAACATCGGGAAGAGCGGCTCCGGCTGATGCCTGTGCCTCCTCCAGCGTCGTCGCTTCCGCTGCTGGTACGGCATTGTGTTGTTGCCACCCGCGTTGAGGCGTTCTCCATCACCGACATGCACGTCCTGCTGCATACGGCCGGTTGTGTAAAACATGCGGCGCCAATGACCATACTCACCGCAGGCAGTGTAGTTGATTTCAAAGCGTCATGGCGCATTTCAGAGGCCGAGTGAGTGTCCACGCCTCCCGCACCTCACGCACTGATGAACGGCACCCACATCGGAGTGCCTGGCGGCGGAGCTGACTCCTCTTGCGGATAGACGGCGTTGCTTCCACAGTCAAAGAGCCCCCCAGATCCCCACATCGGGAAGTCAGGAGGTGGGTGGTGTGCAGGTGGTGGTTGAGGACGAACCCAATGCTGCTGCTGCCGCTGCTGCCGCCACCGCCGTTGTTGCCCCCTCTGACCGTCGCCGGCATGACCGTACCCCAAACCACCGGTCGCCTGCGGTTTGCCAAATTCCTTAATCATGACGTTGTTGGCGTATGCCGTCCGAACAACGTTTTCCACCTTCGCTCGGGCAATGGTTGGGTCGGCCAGGATGGACATGCGTTCGATATATTATGCGTGCGCAAGCTGGCGGACAATGATGTGCACAATTTCCCGCTCGGATTTTCAACACCGACCGCTCGCACGGTGTTGAAGATGCCGTCGACTCTGGCAAAGAAAATATTCAGGTCCTCACCAGGGGGCATCGCAACTGTCTCCAGCCGCCGCACAAGCAACGTCTTCTCAGCGTCAAAAGTAGGCCAAAGCCGTGCGTGCATCACCTTCCACGCCTCAGGGTCACAGTCGCAAGCAGCTAATCGTTCTTCAATCACCTTGCCGTAGATTGGTTCTAGCAGAAATCCCAATGCCCGCTTGTGTGACGTAACTAGCGCCGCACCATAAACCCGATTCAAATATGCGCGATCCGAAGAGCTGATGACAGGAACATGGTCAGTGCTGTGGGTGTCTTCAAGGATCTGCTCCAAACCCTTGCTAGCCAGGAAATTCCGCATTATCCGCAGACAGTTCACGGCCTTCGCCGAATCGTTCGGAAATTTGGGTACTGCTATGACCGCTCACCCGTTGTGTGCTGAGCCCAGCTCCACCACCAACTGTCCTGGCCGTCGTTCTCCCGCCAGCCATTTCTCCTGCCGGTGCATCATTGTTCTCCCTTCGATGCTCATATCTCTTCTCCGTCTCGTCCTTCTCCCTCCTCATTATCTCTTCCTCCGCCAATTTGCGCCTCAAAAACAAATGCGGCACGATGTGCTCCTACTGCTGTTGTTTTCATGTGTAGTTGGATCTCCTTGACGTGCGCTGGCAATAGCCGCTTACAGCAGCTGTCCTCGTACTCCAAATGCTTTCCCTGGATTTCCTTGGCGCGAATACAGCTGCTGCCCTTGTTTTCCAAACTCTGTTCCCTGGATCTCCTTGGCGCGCGCGGGCAAAAACCGCCCGCCGCTGCTGACCTTGTATTCCGGTGCCTACCGCCCGAACCTTTCCCTACCGACGTCTGCTGACTCCACGATTTGTGTTTGGGGTGTCGGCGCGTGTACTATGTTATCACGCTCGCGGTCTCTTGTCGAGAGCGTGTTGCACAAAGGAGTGACTCAAGTTCCGTGGTTACTAAGAGTGACAGATGTGAGCAAGAAGAAGAGGCACCGCCTGCTGCACCAAGTCTGTATATCATAACCATGTCATACTCATCTGCGTACCCCCTTCGGAGATCTCGGAGACTGTATCCTACCGAGTACAAACACACAATGTTCCACGCCTGGGTTCTTAGGCGTTATGTGGTTCGGGTGTGTTGTTGTTGTTGTTTCTCCATATTCGTCCAAGGTCAAATGGTCGTGGTGGACTTGTCCCATGAGCTTTGAGACGTTGTGAGCTTTGCAGCTTGGGGGGTTGTCCCAAGAGCGACTCTCCGAGTATCTCGCGGCGCTTCGCGCGTGGTGATGGCGAGCCTGGTCCTGTGAGGACCCAGTGTGCTCCGTCCCGGCTTTGTAGGGATGCGACAATCATCGTCTAATAACTAAAGCATGCACGATGTTGAGTACCCCCCTCACCTCCCAGGAGAAGACGACCACTATATGGGCTTAAACGTAAGTGGCTGAAACGCTTGGAATTCTGTTGGGAGGAGAGATGGGATAGGGAAACATAACTTGAACCGCCTTTGGCATGGAAGGAGGGAGTGATTGGCCATCAGTGATCGATCCTGTAGGCGCGACGGCCACCTGGTGGAAAATTCGCCGCTCACCCATTTGGCGGATCGGACACCGAGAGGTAAACATTGTTTGCGTACAGTAGAAATAGGGTAAGGGTTAGGGAATGTCTGGGGGCCTTGATGCGGGAAGTTCCTACTGCCGGGTACTTTGTAGCGACGTATCTGCCTAGGGGGATGACAGGTAGCCAAGGAACCTTACACACGAATACCGAACCCTTTGAGGCCCACGTCGAGTACTATGTGTTGTTCGTCGCCATTACCCCACCACAAGCCCAAGTAGTATTGAAAGATCTGCATTCCGTACTCAAGGCTACTGAAACAAGTTGAAGAGAAGGGGTCGTGCTCAAAATTGTACAAGTCCAGCTCCATCGCGCCCTGTTCTACACTCCAACACTAAAGCCGATGCGACGCTAACAGAAACGATATGCTCAAGCACGGCGCCACGTGCATTCAATATATTTTCGGGAATGCCATTTGCTCCACCGGTGGCGTGACCTCTTATTTGCTCCACCAGGCAGATCTCCACCCACAGAGCTCCAATCGACCTCAAACCAATTGCTTCGTGTGGATATGGACTACAGTTATCTGCGATGCTACTTCGAAGCTAGAATATTTTCCATTCCAACTCAAGTCCTCGATGCATGAGCTAGGCCACACCGCATGACCACGGACTGCTTGATACCTGGCGTTAGGAAACCATCTCACGGGCAGCAAAATAAAGTAGGAGCCCTACTCTGTGACGTGCACTATCTCGGTATTCTGCTGAGCGCGGATCAACCACAAATGGCCACAATAGGTGACGAGGGCCTGGGGATGACGGAGTAGTCGTATGGGTGCCATACCACCGCCTGCAATTGTATGTTCGTCTCTACTCGGTATGAAGGATGACGAAAGAGGGGTACCATCAACACAGATAGCGCCCGCACTTAAGAACTTAGCAGTTAAGAAATTGAGACTCGCAAAAAATCAGAGGCTAGGAACTTGAGCACCATTTGTGAGCCCGGTCAAGAACCCCACACTATTATACAACCTATATAGCGGCCATTTGTAGCCCACAAGAGGATGATCAGCAAAATAAGAACCCCAGCCTCGGCCGAAACTAGAGGTTCTTAAGCGCGGGCGCCATCTGTAAGAAAACGATATTTATGTTTTCGCAAGAACTGCTGAACCCCCCCAAACTCTACGATACTGGTATGAAACAAGCAAAATATTAAAAACGCCTGCTGAAGGGATAGGGTACGTTGGAAACGTTTGGTATGATACTGTGCACGTTGAAAGATGGATGAGGGTGAATCAGCATGCGGTGACTCTGCGCATTGTGGTGAGCGCATACCAATATAGCCGGAAACCGTAGTCGTCGGGGTTTTCCCTTCTTTCAAGACTACCCGCTCACCCCCCCATCACCTATTTGGCTGGAGGCGTGGAATCGGAGTGAGGAGAAGATCGTATTTCTTCCCCCTTTCTGGATTCCCGCCCGGGAGGGGTTGGTGTCAGAAAAAAGAACCCACCTCCCGGCGGTGGAAAACCTCGAACGATAACGGTATTCAACCCACCGAGAGAAGGTCATTGAATACTAACGACAACTGCGCGATCGTTGGAGATTGAACTACTCCATCTGAGCCGCGTGTAGTTGAAAGTCAACCGGGCCCCACAAGTTGTAGGTACAGTCGAGGGACCTTCATAGTGCCGGTTGAATAGTGCCAGATGCCCGGTTTAGTGCCGGTGAAATCTCCGGACACAGGCGGAGCCCTCAATAGTGCAATACCGGCGCTATTGTGGGCATGCCCGGTATAGTGCCGGTTGGGCGCAACTGTCACCCTCAATAGTGCCGGTTCATTCCCCCCCGCGCACACACACAGCACACACACACAGTTTCAACGAATGATGGTCTTGGCAAAGGCACCAATCGACTCATCGTTGCTATCGCCAACCACTTGGCGCACGAAGCTTTTTGCCGGGAAAATTTTGACGACGAGAGGGCCTTAGTTCGCCTGAAAGCTTTTCATACTAACAGGATTCGGAGACGGTTTACCTTCGAGCTAGCTCGTTTTCTGTCGATGCGAACTCGCGATGTGTTCAAACGTCATGGGCTACTGATCGACCAACTTCCACCAGGGCCAATCGGTTGGGATCTCTNATCCGAAGGATAGTTAAGCCTCCCCCATGCTGCCCCCTCACGGGGTCCCAGTCCATGGTAGGTAGAAGTGTTTTGTGTTTTCAACCGCACTAAGACTGACGTCTTTTCATTGGTCAGCCGGTTAGCGCGGTCGATGCTAATAATAAAAACACACACAGACAACCAGGCAGAGGACAGACTCTAGACAGAGGAGTAGGGTACAGGTCATGCTGCAGACCAGAACAGCTCTACGCAGGGGCGTACCATGCCATGTGAAAGGTGAACTGTGCGCTCAACAAGATAAGACGCCGCAGACCCCACACGGCCACCCTTGCAAGGGAGGATGTGGCGGGCGGCTTCATGGCAAGTGCGGTAGCATGTTTGGCGACAACGAACAGCACCGCATCTGCTGTGCGTGCGTCGCCAAGGACGGCAAGCGCAAGGCGCCAGCAGCTGACACCTGTGGAAGGGGACAATCTGAACGCCCGAAGGTCACGAATGGGGGGAGTAAGAAGTCTCAGCCTTCTCGTAAGGAGCCTCGTGCGCAGCCGGATTTGGACGCCATGCTTGAGATGCTGAAGCTCATGGATGCCAAGGTCACTCATGAGCAGATAGCGGACCGCTTCGCTTGCTCGGTACGGCTGGTCCGGGATGTGAAAAAAAACGGCAGAAGTACGAGGCCGAGGCTGCTGCAGGAGGCGAATGCATTACATTTTCTGCGCCACCTGGGACCAGATGCTTTGTCAAAGCCAACACGCTTCCGGAGGAGATGGCGGCTGAGCTCACCAATCAACATGGAATAGCCCGGTTCCAGATCGCCGAGCCTGACTTGAAGGCTCTCACGGAGACTGTCAACAAGTTGAGCACGAGCGTGCACGAGGCGCAGCAGCAGGGATCCCGAATCGAAGCCGAGGACATCGCCGAACTGTTGGCAGAACTCCGCATCGAACCCGGAAAGCGGATCGAGGAGGAAGCTGTGAACGCGATTCAGGGGTGGGCTACTTTCGAGGACGATGATGAAGTCGTTGAGGCTATCAGACTGGATACGGTGGACGACACGACGGCACAGCTGAATGGGGTGCACATGTCTGCCGGCCGCGAGGAGGAGGACGAACAGGAGGAGGACAGGGGCGATGAGGACACGGGGCGTGTGCGCCGTGCCCCACCGGCGTATGGTGAACTGTCGTCTTACTTCGGCGTCCTGGAAGCGGCAGCAGAGAAGAGTGGCAACGGAGAAGCGGCGCTCTATCTAGCGAAAGCGAAGATGGCGATGATAGTAGCGCATTCCGCTACGCGAGTGCGCCAGGCGGACATGAGAGAATTGTCGCGACGTAGCGAGGATGCGGGTACAGCTGTAGCAGTGGTTGTTTTCTTGAGAGGCGCTGCCTGCTTGTTTTTTGTATTGTTTTTTGTTGCAACATCGAAGGGGGTGCGCCAGGCAGACACGAGAGAATCTGTCGCGACGCAGCAAGGGCGGGGGTTACAGCTGTAGTTGTGTGCTTTTTTTCTTTTTTCTTTTGGTGCGCTTATATATTGTTTTGTTATTGTTTTGTTTCTTGATTTTCATTTTTCAAAATCGAAGGATGGCAACAAAGGGTGAATTTAGCTTTGTACGAACGAGAGCTTTTCAAGCAGTTTGTGCCGGTCACAGCCTACTCGGGTGCATGATGTGTGTTTCCCTTTCGCCGTCGACTAGTCGTGGTGAGGCACTGCTGTAGCCCGAAATGCAACTATCTTATTTTTCAAAACTCTTGTGGGCTCAACAGGGTGAAACCGCACGTGTCGCGGGAAAGAAAGTCTGCCCAGGCCTACACTAGAACTTCACATGACAGCAGTGTCGATCCATTTCGTACTACAGTACTGACTTGGCCCCGCAAGCCTGAGCGCTACACCATAAATCGCACACGTTCTCATTAGTGCCAGACCGGCACTACTGAGGGATTGGCTAGCCTTCAATAGTGCCGTTTTGGCATTATTCGCAATGGTGCCTGGTGCCCGGTTTCGTGCCGGTGAAATCTCTCGACACATACCGGCACTATAAAGGTCCCTCGACTGTAACCTTTCTGTCTCGCCACGACTAATCATGACGTTCTTCATCCCCCCCACCGTCAACTTCACCCTTCCCCGCCCTACCCACAAGCATGGTATTTCCCTCCGTACTATACGTACAGGTTATGGCTGATCAATAGTGTCTTCGCGTTCGTCTGCCCAGAGATGAGTGTAAACTTATTTTGCATCAATACACTTAGCACAGCTTCAGGTACCGACTATGTTGTCGTGGATGCAGTGCCTCGAGGCGAAGGTTCGCACGTTCGCACCTGTCTTAGGTCAGCCGGCTGTGACGGCAGTCGAGGACAAATTTCCACACAGTGGTGGGCACGAGGAGAGGTTACGATGGTTTGCAACTATGGTAGATAATGTGTCGGCGAGCAGTCAAAAGCGCTGCAAGACTCATGTAACGAGGAACACACATGGAAGTGTACTTGGCTTCGATCGAGATGACAGTAGATTAAACTCCAGCCTAACTTTTTGACGACTCTGTCAATTGGGCTGACGAGCCCGAGTCGAGATAGAAAAATATCAGCGGTCCACAGCGGCATGGGAATAACTGCTCGTCGGCGCAATATATCTCCTAGCCTGAACGAAGAGGAAGATGTGTCGACTCCGATATTCAAGTATACCACAAGGTACGACTGGGAAATAGGAAGGTATGAAGGTTAGAGACGCACATCGTCGTTCAACAGATAACTTTCGTGAACAAGCGGTGACATGTTCATAAGCAAATTACCATGGGCACTTCCACTTTCGTTTCCTGTTACCTCCTTGGCAAGGCCCCAAAAGAATGCTGGTACCACCACCCCCCCCGCGAACATGTCCCAAATAAGGAAGGGGTTCTGCATTAGTGAAAGAATATTCTTTTCGCGCACCCACCCCTGTTTCAGCGACTCGGCATCATTGCATTCGTTGACAAACGTCAGAGAGACGCCATTGTTCGGTGGTATGATGAGCTCCGACGAAGATACTTTCTTGAGATAATGCATTGTTTGATTCTTGGACAGTAGCCAAAACTAAGGATTCTTTATTCCTGCGGAAGGAGGAATATTGGGCATGAATCGGGTGCAAATGGAGTCAACTCGACACCCTCCAACGAAACCAACCCCCCACTAGTGATGACGTACCATTACTATGTGTCCCTGGTTGGTGGCCATGTTTGCGTGTTTGCTTGTCGTTAGTGGTCTTTCCACCGTGTGCCTTTTCCTGTCTCTTATTTCGTGTTATTTTCGGCCTGGTCCCTTCTTGTCCCCGCTCTTTCTATTTCATTTTCTCTTTCCTTACTGTTTCCTTTTATTTTCTTCTCTTTTTCTCTTTTTCTCTCTTTTTCTGTGCCAGATGGCCCTGTCTCTGCTTGCGTTGTGAAGTACCAAGATTGAACCCAGGGGGTGTACCTCATTCTCTCCGGCCCGTAATGGTGACTCCTAGTCTCAGTTGCTACCTCGCATAGCGCGCAGAGGGAGTGGAGGACTCCAGAATATCTGTCGTTGATTTCTATTGACTTGCGGACCCCTCGGGGCCAGTTCATTTGAGTGTACCTTTTTAGAGTAAGTTAGCCTGCGACCACGGGAATCGACCGCGTCGAGTGTTGGATCAGTACGGACATACGAAGGTGGGCGCTCCATGGGCTGAATTTTTGCCCATGACGGGCCGCCTATGGTCATCATGCCCACGCGCAAGCCTACAACGCCCGCCATGGGCTGGCCATGGGCTGGCCATGGGCACCCCAACGTGTGCAACCCATCGTGGGGCGGCCCACCACGGTCAGCATGTTGGGCATACCAGTGGGCCACCCATCGTAGGCAAAGGTTAGGGAAACACGGTTTGGTCAGATTTTTTTTCTTCTTTGGTTGGCCAAAACGTTAGGATACAGTCCCTAATGTACAAAAAATATTCGTTTCCGTGATCCCCACGACCAAGACGGCCTAGGAACATGAAGAACCGTGAAAGCGTGAGGGTTCTCTTCAACGTTATTGAAGAGAATACGGAACGGAAACGAGCATGCCTGGGATCGAACCCCGGATCGAACCCCGGCCCTCGTGAAGAAAGGGCGTACGCATAAACTCTTGGGGTACGTGCACAATCACCCACACTACTGACAGTTATCGTCAACCGCCCATGCGCAATTCATGGCCGGCCATGGGCTGCCCATGGGCTGCCCATGGGTGACCCAGGGCATGCCCATGAGCTGCCCATGGCCGGCCCATGGAGTGCCCACCGTTGGCAATTCAACCTAGAATTTCGCCACCGGCATATCAACCTAGAACTTATTCACCTTCACATCAACCTAGAACTTGGCCACCAGCAGCGCCAACCTAGCACGTATCGTGTGGGCTTGGGGATAGGGTTACGGTTAGTGTTAGGGCTTTTTGCCGCTATGGTGCCCGTTCCAAAGCAGATAATCTATTGCTTAGGAGTAGACTCGTCCGGTTGAAGGGCTCTCATTGACCGCCCATGGGTGACCCATGGGTCGGTTAGGACAAATGTTGAAAGTGTGGGAGACCCTGCGTACAGCGAACGTTGCTACTGTGTCCCCCATTATACTCTTGTACAATTTTCTTACTATCATGGACGGTGGGTTCACGGAAGAGTGTCTCGTCGACGCCGATACAAGACCCGTATGGGCGCCCTGTGGATTCTCGCCAAACAACGGCCTTGGCCAAGGTGGATGAGGATGGAGATGGTTCGTGATAGCGTCTCGTTGTTGTTGTTGTTGTTGTTGTTGTTGTTGTTGTTGTTGTTGTTGTTGTTGTTGTTGTTGTTGTTGTTGTTGTTGTTGTTGTTGTTGTTGTTGTTGTTGTTGTTGTTGTTGTTGTTGTTGTTGTTGTTGTTGTTGTTGTTGTTGTTGTTGTTGTTGTTGTTGTTGTTGTTGTTGTTGTTGTTGTTGTTGTTGTTGTTGTTGTTGTTGTTGTTGTTGTTGTTGTTGTTGTTGTTGTTGTTGTTGTTGTTGTTGTTGTCTTCACATTATAAACCATTCCGATCTCTCTCTACCCATGCGCTGCCCATGGGCTGTCATGGGCTGTTCATGGGCGGGCGGATTATCAAAACCTCAAATGTGTGGGACACCCATAGCAGGGGGGCGGGCGGGCGTCAACATGAACAATAGGAAACGTGATCCGTCTATGGACAGGTGGACTTCCGAATACTTACCCGTCCGTGAACATGTCTGTGGACATGTTCACGGACAACGTCCATGGACATGTCCGTGGACGCGTCCATGGACGTTCGTGGACGTCCGTGGACAAGTCCAGGAACATGTCCATGGACGCTGTCCACGGACATGTCCGGACATCCACGGACGTGTCCATGAAATGGTCAAATAGTGTGCATAACCCTAACAATCTGTAGTCTACCCTTGTCGAGATGTTCATGTTTCGTCATCGCCGCTTCGGCACACGCGGCATTCATTCAGGTTTTCAGGTACGATAGTACGTGTAGAACTACGTGTGTGTTTGTTCTGTCTCATCCAATTTGGCACCAGAGTCTACCGTACACCGGTCGGTATGAATTATCAGCCGGGGTAACCCAGGCCGAAGGTCACACGAGACGCCCGCTAGAAATGGTTTTATTTCAATCTTCCATCTTCCCTCTTGGGGTGCCTGGCCGACGCTGTGCAGTAGTTTTCATTTCGAGAAGGGTTCAGCCGTCCCTTACCCTCGTCGAACCGTGAAGTTGACTTGAATATACTCACGAAGTCAGTTGAGTTAATCATTGTTGTCGCTCCAAAGAGGTAATATCGAATGCACCACGTGCTGCCCGTACGTGTTCGAGGTTACCCACTAAACCAACGATGCGATATATGTACATAGTCAAGTTTGGTTGCAATGAAGCTCTATCATCAACCTACCACGGATTTTCCCGAAATGGCACGCGTGCTAGCTGTCGCAAGATTTGCATGTTTTCCGAGTGGTTGCCATGGCCATGGCCACGCCTCCACCTTCCGTTCTGCACCTGCTGGGCATGGACGTGGGGCCACGTCCAACCCGGTCGTGCTACAGCGGTAGTGACCGAAGAAAAACGGCATGTGATAGCCAATTTTTCTACGAAAATATGCTGTGGACAAGCTTCATGTGACTACTGTAACCAAGCTGCTGCCTTGCTTTGTACCGGTTCATGTCCTCGGTTTCAAGAGTGTTCAAAAAACAAACGGGTATCAGGTGGGCAAGGGGCTGTCCAGAAGTTCATTGAATGTGTGCATGAGAAAGCTTGTGAAGACAACCCTTGGGTTTGAGGGGTATTCACCATTTGCTTACACCCAGATGAGCTATTCACATTGAGAAGCATCACGCGTCAGCGTAAACGCGTCAACGTACCAAAATACTCTCGCGACCCCCAGACAATATGCCCCCCCGGCAATAACCACCAAAACATCAAATGTGCATATTTTCTTGCGAGTATGTGAATCTAGAACCTGTTGTCTTGCATATTGGTTCATCAAAAGCAACCTAAAAACGGAATGACTGAACTCAACCCTCACCCAGGTGCTAACATTCCCTTCGCGTAGGGCTGTTCAAAATCCCAACCCCAACATTTCGAAGGGACACTCTCGTGTTCGAGTGAAGTGCCGTTGACGATGGGACTCTTCCGTTGTCTTCGACGTTGGCTATTCATGTCCAAAGAGCTGAAAAAGAGTTCGTAGATTTTTGGGTGTGACTGCAGTGGTTGTTGTTGTTGTTGTTGTTGTTGACTTCACATTAAACCGTATGCCAGTTGCTAAATGCCAAAATCTAGCAAAGACTCTCGGCCCGTGGTCACGAAAGTGCTAGAGCCATCTGAGGATCTAAAGAACACGCACACGTAGCA